TTAAGTTTCAGTGCTAGCACCACTGCCACCTGAACTCAATCCCTGGCTGGGGAGCTACCCACATGGCACAGCAGACCTCTCCTGCTGGCCCGCTGTTCCCCTCGGCAGTGTGTTTCAGTAGATCTACCCGTTCTGTTCCCCACTCTGTCTCTGGTGACAGAAACAGTAGGGTTCTCTTCCACTTCCTTTTCCTCTTCCTCCTCCTCCTCTTCCTCTTCCCTTTCTTCTTCCTCCTCCTCCTCTTCCTCCTCCTCTTCCTCTTCCACTTCCTCTTCCCCATACCCTTCCCCTTTCTTCTTTCTCCCACCTTCACTCCTTTCACACGCCCAGAGTGACCCACAGTTCAACAGAGAGCACCCCCAGCCTGCAGGCAACTCTCCCAGCAGACTGGCCTCAGCGTGTGTCAAAGTAGCGTGCTCCACACGGGGCTCTCGATTACCGCAGGCTGAGATGTCAGACCCTGTCCTACTTGGTGGGGGCTGAAAAGGAAGGGGGTCCTGGAGTAAATCACAGCTCAGACAACATCTACCACAACAGAAGAGTGTCCAGACACGCACCCAGGTGGGAAATGCAGGAGCCCCAACTTCCAAGCCTGGCAGCCACCAATGACCTGGGAAGGGCTACAGGAGGTACCACCTGTCCAGAGCAGGGGTCCAGCTGGAGAAAGCGGGGGAAGGAGGGAGACCACAAGAACCACCACTGCACCCCCACTCACCAGCCACAACAGCTCAGACACCAGGCACACATGCCCACACCTCAGCAAGGGAACTCAGAGGCCTGCCCCCAGCACCAGTGACAATGGGGCACTACAAAGAGAGCAAAGCCAAAGGCAAAGAGGAAGAAAGAAAAGCACAAGCAATCAAAATGCTCCTCAGGGGAAAATATACCACTGAAAGAAACCTCCAGAACCCAATAATATGAGCATAGAAGACTATCTCTGCCTGGCAGATAAAGAATTCAATTGCCATTAAAAAAAAAAAACCTTAAAGAATTAAGAGAAAAAGTAAAAAGGGAAAAAATATTTAACAATGAACTGAGGAAAATAAGCAAATGGATCAAAAAAGAAGGCAGGAACAATATACTTACATCGGATAAAATAGACTTCAAACTAAAAACTGAAAATGCTTCCTCTGTTCACAAGAATACAATTTTAAAGAAAGGTTTCTTTTAAAAAATAAAAAGGTCCTCCCCTGGTGGTGCAGTGGTTGAGCGCTGGGCTGTGAAGCTGCTCGCAGCCTCAGCAGCACAAGTTCGATCCTCGGCCTCCAGCGAGGGTCCCACATGGTGCGACAGACCTCTCCTGTTGGCCCGCTGCTCCCCTCAGCAGTATATTTTGTCAGTCTGCTTGTTCTGCTCCCCGCTCTGGCTCTGGTGAATTCTCTCACCCTCCCGTGCTTCTGACTATACCCAGTGCTTGTCTAAATAAATAATCTTTTAAAAAATAAAATAAAATAAAATAAAAAATTTAAAAAAGGATAATACATTGCCTACCTCAAACCAGATGAAAGACCTAAATATGAGCTAAATACGTAAAATTTTTATAAGAAAACTGAAAGTTCCATGGTTCCAACCTGACTTCCAATTCTCATTTTGCAGGTGCAGAAATTGTCTACAAAGTTCCAAATCATGTTTGAACCAATCACAGTCCTTGCGACTGAAGCAGCTGGTCAAATTGCATAGTCACTGCTGTACGGCATTGGAAATGGGTCAGTCCTTGGTAAAGATCAGCTTTTATTCCCTGTGTTGTTGGGTGTTACTCGTGTGATGGGTATCCTAATAGAACTGCAAGACTGGTTCCTTCCCCTCTTAAAAGTTACGGCAACAGCTAAGGAAAAGGTTAACATCAAAGACTTGCATGTGGCCATTCTTATGGGCTCCATCCCAAAAAGGTACAGCATGGAAAGGAAAGGTTTATTCAAGCAAATGTGAAAATCTTCAAGTGCCAGGGTGCAGCGTTAGAGAAATATGCCAAGAAGTCAGTCAGTTCTCACGGTGGCAAATGCAGCCAATAGCAACTGTCAGCATCATCCATCCCCAAGGAGAACTTCAGCTGTTCATGCATTTGGATCACAACCAAGCTAAAGTGCAAGTTGCTCTTAAACTTGGTGTAACTTCTAATGTTATGAAGAATACCATTATTTGAGGAAACCATTCCTCAACTCAGTATCCAAACGTCAGCCGTGCCAAGGTGAAACTGCAAGGAAAGAAAGTTGATGTTTATGAAGCTTTAAAAGATGACAAAAGATGACCAGTGGCTCAAGGCAGAATCCATCACCACGGAGCAGCAGCATGGTGCCGCTGTCATCAAGGCTCAAAAACGATCCAGAGCAATGCCTGCCACACAAGTCACCTGTGACCATGGCAGAGACATCTGGTTTGGAAATCCAAAGGGAGAATTTGTGTGGTAATTCCTACAGTGTTCCCGATGATCTTCTCTAGTCGTTCCCTGTTATACTCAAGAATAAGACCTGGAAAGCTGCTGAAGGTCTCCCTCTTACTGATATCTCAGTTCAGAAGATAGATCTTACCGCAAAAAGAACTAGCAGAAAAAAAAGAAACTGTTTTGTATTTCTTTCCTCTGCCTAACTAGACAATCATTTTGATTTCAATCATGGTACTTAATGCCCCAAAGCTGAAGAATCTAAACGTCATCTTTGACTACAGTACCAAATAATAATATGCTATACTTAAATTACATGTGAAAAACAACAAATTTTTTAAGTGTGCGCTTTTTGGTACAAATTTGTGACGGTTTATCATCATGCTGTTAGTAATGCACTCTAAACAAACTATGTAGTCAGATTTAAAAAAAGTACATTTTGCAACCTTAAGCTTGGTCATGGTTTCTTAAATATGACACCAAAAGCATAATCAGGAATTTATCAAAATTAAAAACATTTGCACTTCAAAGAACACTTAATAGGAGAAAACATTTGTAACTCATATAAATGGTAAAAGAGTACATATCTGGAATACCTAAAGAACTCTTACAACTTAATAGGAAGATAAATTAATTAAAAATACAGGGAAGGGATCAGGATCTACTTCTCTCCAAAGAATATGTACATATGACCAATAAATAACAAAAGTTTGCTCAACATCACTAGTCATCTGGGAAATGCAAATCTAAACTACCACTTCACACTCACTAGGATCATCATAATCAGAAAGACACAAATTACAAGTGCTAACCAGGATGTGGGGAAATTAGACCCCTCATATATGCTGAAGGGAATGATATATGGTGTAACCACTTTGATAAACACTTTGGCAGTTCCTAAAAAGGTTAAACATAGAAGCCAGCAACTCCACTGGTAGGTACATACCAAAGAGAAATGAAAAAACATGTCCACAAAAAAAAGGTGTACATGAATGTGCATTATTCCTAATAACCAGGAGATAAAAGCAATCCAAACTTCCATGAACTGACAGATAAATGTGTTATATCCACAGAACAGACCGTCATCAGCAATACAAAGCAATGAATACTGTAAATACATCAATGAACTCTGAAAACAGTATGCAATGTGAAAGAAGTCAGTGACAATCACATGCTGTATTACATTTACATAAAATGTCCAGCCAAATTTATAGACAGAAATGAGGAATGAGGATTTCAGGTACAGAATTTGAGGGGTATTTTTGAGAAGAAAAATGTTCCAAATTAATTGTAGTGATGGTTACATAACTTTGTCAATATATTAAAAAACAGTGAATTATATATTTTAAAAGTTAACGAGGAAATATGAATTATAATTCAATAAAACTGTTACCAAAAAATAACAGTAACATATACAATTTTTCATAAAAAGAGAAATATTTAAGTGTAAATCTAATGAAGTTTGTACAGGATGTATATTCTATACATTCTAAACACTGATGAAAGAATAAGGGATCTAAATAAACAGAGAGACATACTATGTTCACAGGTTGGAATGAATAATGAAAAACTGAAATACTATAAATGTCCTTCAATGGGTAAATATATAAACAAATAAAAGTAAATCCACATAATAGAATACTCAGCAATAAAAAGGAATAAACTAGTGATAAGAAAAAACAACTTGAATGGACTGTCAGGGACATTAAGTTTATTTTTAAAAGCTTATAAAAAGTTAGACGCTTTCTGACTCCAGTCATAAACTTTCTCAAAATGACTTCACTATATAAGTGTAGAACAAATCATGCTTACCAGGAAAAAGGAACCGGGTTTGGGGTGGGGGAGGAGTTAATTACAAAGGGACAAAACAAGGAAAATCCTTTGTAGTAATCAAACAGCTTTGTATCCTGATTGAGGAGGCAGTTAAATATACACATGAGAACAAACTGCATAGGACCATACAGATACGTATATGAGGATGAGGTTTTAACAACTGGTGAATACTAAATAAGGTCTGTAGTTCAGTTGAAGTAATATCAATTTCCGGGTTTTATATCATAATACAGTTATATTACACATTCTTATTGGGGAGACTGGATTAAGGTTTCAAATCACTCCATGCACTATTTGTACAACTCTCTGTGAATCCATATTCATTTCAAAGTCAAAAGTAAGAGCAAATAAACAGACCAAATAATGACAAACATAATAAAAATAACAAAATTACGTGGCAGAATTAAAACCAAAACTATTCATTGTATAAATAAAGGTAGTAATATATGGGCTTAACTTAATCTTAAAGGTGTTATGATTATGGAAAGGCATTAATCAGAATTTGTATAGGCCATGTCTTATATCTTAGACTTATGAGAGAAGGTTAACCTTTCAGTAAAGAGAATACCAGGTATTATTGCTACATAATATCAATCTTTATATTTTTACAGACTTAATAAACCATAATATTAGTATAAAATTAAGTTTTCAATCAAATAGCTGTAAGACTGAAAAAATATACTTGGAAACATTCCTCATCCCTGAACTTCAATAAATGATAAAAAAAAAAATTTCCAGTTGGGGTAGGGAACAGTAAATCAATTCTATTAAATATGTAAAATTTTACCTGCTTTTCCTTTCAATTAGAATGGCCACATAAGATGCTGGCAAAGCGGCACCAAAACCAGGACTCCATGAGTAGAATTTTCCAAGTATCTTCCTGAAATTCAAATTTGGAATGTTTGTATGAAATTTGTAATTGGTCATTTCACCTATTATGAATAAATTCCCCCTCTAAGTCACCCTCTATCTAAATGTCCCACAGTCCAAATTCAACAAGTCCAAATCCTTTCCCCTATGCTCATGAATGTGTTCTCTCTCCTCTATTTTCCTAGTTTAATGGTATCAAACTACCTAACCACTAAATGTGTGTCACTTTTAAGACATCTTTGGCTTCTCCTCTCTTACATTAAGTCATCCCCTTAATTTTTCCACATGCAATTTATATCTCAAATTCTTTTCCAACCTACTGTCCCTGCCTTCGTTAAGCCCTTCCCCATCTCTCCATCCTGATATCACTCATCTCAATCATTAGTCAGTCATATTCATTCACACATTCCCTGAATCCAGCCCTGCTCACTATGCAAGCCCTCTGTGTTCTTAACTTGCTTATATACTAAATGGGAACATTACCTATCTCATATAGTTTTAAGAGGTTCACATGAGGCATTTCCCAGTACCATGCATGGCACATAAAGTACTCAGAAAATATAAGCTATCATTACAATGATTACTAACATATAATAATAATAAACATGTACATGAGAATGCATATGTATGTAACATGTGTAATACACATGAATGCATCAAAAATTTTTTCCTTCTACGCTTCCACAACCCTTAATAACTACTTCTTACAGCACTTGTTAAAGTATTTTTTAGTTATATGTATACATCATTTTTCATTTACTACAACATGTCCTTTGAAAATAAGATCTACAGTGCTTCACATATTACAAATGGCCATTAACGGCTTGGGTTTTTAAAAAAGGAAAAAAAAAATTTGGAAATAGTAGGAAGATTTTCTTCCTTTAAAAACAATATGTTCCTAAGAAAGGGGGAAGCAGCATATAAAAATTACAAGAATTAATCTAAACAAAGTTGGTCAACTGATAAATGATACATTATTAGAATAGAGATATGTATACAGATAAGAATTAAGAATCACAGATCAAATCATTTTTAAAAAAAAAAGTAGAAAAGTCTTTAAGCACATGAGTATTTTTGAAATGAACACCAGAAATCTTCTGCCTGAAGATGGTCCTCAACCCAATATAAAATCCACAAAGGACTTATGTTACTGAGTGCAAAAATTAAAAGAAAGTAATTCAGTGAGTGAGTTAACATAAATGTTGCTACATTATAAATATTTTACATTTCCACAAGTTAACCAAACAAGTTCATAAAATATAAAGATATATGCTGCAATAGCAATTATTACTTCTAAAACCTAATGACCTTATAAATTTAAGAGTTCCAACAAATATTAGAAACTTTCCAGAGATGGCATAATAAAGAAACTTTCTTACATAGATCTTCAAGTCAATTTAAAGGTATGATTTACTCAATGGTATAAATCATATCAGTTATTTGCTACATAATCAAAAGGTTTATAAACACTAACAATCCACAAGAAAAACTTCTGTGAAAAGACATTTGGAAACTTTTTGTAATTACAGCTAAAATATATCCTCAGAACTATTTGGGCAATACTAAATGGGTAACATCAAAATGAGGATAATGGAAAATCAGCATTTTAACATGACAAATTAAAAAAAGGTTTTAAATAATTGGTGAAGAAAAAGATAAAAAAGTAAATATCTAATAAATATGTTAGATATATCACAGCACTAAACAGACTGAATTCTAACTGCATCTTCATGATATGAAGAGTGTGGCACACTAATTTATATAAGACTAAGTCAGGACCAAACACTTCATCAGTGGAATATGTCAGGAGCTCACTTAATGTTTTATATATAAACACAGCATTTTATAGTCCTTTTGAAGTTTGTTCACTGCAGAAGGACCTAACCTATATCATGGAAAGCTGTCTTAAATCTCTCACATATAAAACTGGAAAGTTAAGAAACCCTCATCAACTTGGTAAATATTGCAGGTCTCAGAAAATGATAAATTAAAGCACTTTTGCTATGTAATCACAAAAATAATTTCAACTTTATATTACATCTTTAGTTAAAAGGCCCACAATTCTTGGCTTTATGAGCTTTCTTTGAGATAAACGACATTTCCCAAAGAGAAAAGATATATAAGCAGTGACCTATATAACATTTATATCAATGTTTGTTTCCCTTTCAATAAAGGAATTTATATTACCTTCCAGTGATGATTATGAGTACCAACCTTAAAATGCAAAAGAAAGCCATATATAAGGCCCCATTAGCAGTCAGAAATGAAGCAGACTGTAGGATCTCAGGGACTAGTTTGTGTAAATAATAGTCTAATTTTCGTTTTCGGAGAATTGCTGCAATCTGGAAAGAGAAAGACTCTTTTGTTTAATCCAACCAACTTTGCCCACTTAAATTAGCTTTTACATGGAAGCTACTGAATAATAGAGTATATATTAAAATTAAGGTAAAAACTCTAGTATTTTACTGGATCCTTTATAAAAACAAAATTTGCAGGACAGAAAAGAATATACTTAACTAAAATTGCAACCTAGGTCATGTGATGAGTGACCTCCAAATATTAAGATAAATATTTTACAATGCCCTAAAAACAGTTTGTAAACAAATAAATATATTTTCAAATGGAAAAAAAATAGAATGCAATTCAAATAGATGCTAAAACAGCACCATATTACAGTTACTAGAAACCAGAGAAATTAATTCAGTTAATTTAAACATGACTGCAATATTGCAAAAAAAAAAAAAAAAATGTTCAGATTACAAAAATAAAGTTAATAATTTCTGGCCTCTTGAGTTTCCATAAAAAAAAAAAAAAAAACCTGAAAAATAAATATTGAGAACCCAATGTAACAAATGCAGGTATCACATACTGCCAAAACAGAAATAAGAAAAGTTCCTGTCTAGGGAGATAATAGAAGTTTACCATAGAAATGTAATTATCATTACTTATACTTTAAATTTACATTAAAAATATTTTCTTTTAGGGTTTTTGTGTGTAAGCTTTGAATTTATAAGAAATATTTGTAGATTAAATTTTTTAAAGTCCTGAATACTTAGTAATGATTTTTAAAAATAAAATCTAAGTAGTTATTAAGCATAATATTTATATTAAAAGAAAAAAAAGAATACAAATCATAATGTGCTCAAGGTATGGATAATATATATTGAAGAATAACTCAGTGTTAGTAATATAATACAAACTGCCATAGAAGTTGAGCAGAGTGTGCTTAATATAAGGGTAGACAGGAATTTCATTGAAAAGGAGATAAAAGGACTTCCCTGGTGGCACAGGGGTTAAAGACTCAGTGCTACCAAGCCACTGGACATGAGTTTGATCCCTGGCTAGGGAGCTTACCCACATGGCACAGCAGACCTCTCCTGTCTCCCCACACCTCCCCTCAGTGGTATATTTCAGTAGATCTGCCTCTCTGTCTCTGTTGAATCCTCTCACCCCTAACACCTCTGGCCTACACCCCAGTTCTTGCATTAAAAAAAATAATTTTTAAAAAAGGAGATAAAAGCTAAAGTTGGAAGAAAAGCAGAATTGTCACAGATTACTCAGAAAGGATACTTTTCCATCATGATGAACCATTATTGCAAAGGAACAAAATTTAGAATAACATACTAATGGAATAAGGTAGGGGGTGTAAGAAAGGGGAAGAATGACTTAACAGAGGGGAAAGACTACAGAATTCCTCACTTACCACCACCCCCCAACCATTCCAGAAATAACACTTTCCCTAAAGTCCATGATCAACAAATCAAATGGCCTGTGACCAAAAAAAAATAAAAAAATTCAAAATGGATTAAAGTCTTATATATAAAGCCTGCAACAATAAAATATATACAATAAATCATTGGTGGTATTTTTTTATGACATCAATGATAGAGACTTGACCCCAACAGTAAGGGAAATAAAAGCAAAAACAAACAAATGAGGTTACCTCAAATTAAAAAGCTTTTACAGAGTTAAAGAAAATAAAAGATTAAAAAGATATCCAACTGAATAGTAGGATATATTCATATGTTATATAACCAACAAGGGGTTAGTAGCCAAGATATACAAAAAACTAATCAAAACAAGGAGGGGTGGGAATTGAATGGGGACTATAACCAAGATGAAAAGGCATACATTGTGCAAAAAGGAAAAATGATGTAAAAAATATATAAAATTAAAAAATAATAAAAAATTTAAAAAACTAAATTAACAAAAAATAAATAAATAAAATAATGCAATTAATAAATGGGTAGGTATGAACTGACAATTCACCAAAGAGAAACCCACAAAACAAGAACCAGGCCAGCCACCATGGGCCCAGGTAACAGAACTGCCCACGGAGCCCAGCACCAGTCTCAGGACAAGACCCAACCCCATGTTTGAAAAAGCAGTTCAATCCCAGCAGCAGGCCTGACATCATGGACCAAGTTGCCAGGTCAATCCCAGTGCTCCCCAGCCACCCCCTGTAGAAGCAGAATCCAGAAACACCCATTCAGATCCTCAAACCCACTACTGCAGACTCAGGGCAGGGCCCACTCCCATGGTCACAAGTACAAGGTCTGTATCAGTGGGCGCTAGCCCTAGGCTTGTACCCAAACCTAGGGAACGGTCTGCCAGAAGACTCCAGCAGCGAGCCTGTCCACAGAATCCACCAAACAGCCCAGCCAGAATCTCTGGACAGGCTGAATGGTGAAGGGCTTTTTACCTGCGGTAGCCAGCAAGTAAAGACTGGAAGAGGTGCCTATTTCTTAAGATGTAACCACACTAACAACAAGATCACAAAGAATATGAATAAATTGGGACATGACATCAACAAAGGAACAAAAAAAGGCACCAATAATGAATCTTCCAGAAATAAAGATCTATGAACCTCCAAAGATTTCAAAATCTCAACAGTCATTTTAAAGAACCTCAGTGAGCTACAAGAGAACACAGAAAACTAAATAAGGGCCTCCCTGGTGGCACAAGGGGTTAAGCACCACACTATGAAGCAATCCACAGCCTCTTGAGCACGAGTTTGATCCCCAGCCAGCCAGGGAGAAACCTGGAGAAGCTCCTCCCCTCAGCAGTATATTTCAGTACATCTGCCTGTTCTGTTCCCCACTCCGTCTCTGGTGAATCCTCTCACCCCCAACACCTCTGGCCTGTCCCCCAGCTCTCGTATAGATAAATAAACCTTAAAAAAAAAAAAAAGAAAGAAAACTAAATGAAATCAGAAAAACAATAGATGAACAAAATGAGAAGTCAAACAGATAGAAACTATTTGAAAAACAAGACAGAAATTATGACGTTTAAGAATACAACTAAACAAAAATCCATACATGGGTTCAATAAAAGAATCAAGCTGAAGAAAAAGGTCAGTAGGCTCAAACACAGATTATCTGGAATTATCCAGGCAAAGAAACAAAACAAACCAAAAAAAAAAAAAAGAAAGAAAAGAAGAAAGCCTATGATACTTATGAAACACAACCAAAAAACATAAGAACACATTGATAGGATCCCAGAAAGAGCAGAGGGGAGGTGGAAAGACAGAGACAGAGAAATGGGGGGGAGGGGGTTGACAAAAAATTACCTAATTTGGAAAAGGAATGAACCACCAGATCCATGAAGTACAAAGATCTCCAAACAGATTGCTATAGCGATCTTCACCTAGAAACAGTATAATCACATTCTCCAACTTCAAAGTCAGAAAATTTGGAAAGCAATAAAAGAGCAACTAAATAATACAAAGGAATACGAAAAGAGTATCAGTGGATTTCTCAACAACAATCTCTCAGGCCAAGGAAAAGTTGGGTGATAAAGTACTAACAGAAAAAAATAATAATAATAATAATAAACACCAACCAAAAATATTTTATCCAGCAAAGCAGACCCTCACAAATGAAGAAGAGGTAATAACTACCCAGAAAGCAAAAGCTATGGTAGTTCATCACCACTAGACCTGCCTAAAAGGATCTCTTCATGCTGAGATAAAAGTAGGCCAATTTGTATCCTAAAAACATAAAAATATAAAATTGGTAAATATAAGTACATAGTCAAAATCAGGATACTCTAATACAATGGCGCTATGTAAATCAATTAACTAGAACAAAGGCTTAAAGACAAAGCACTAAAAATAGCTATAGATACAACAAATTGGTAATGAATATACAATATAAAAAGAACGTGGCATCAGAAATACAATATGAAATCAGAAGTCAAAGAACGCGTAGCTTTTGTATGTGATCAAAGTTGTCAACAGCTAAAAATACACTGCAAAAACGTTTTATATAAGTCACAAAGCAAAAACCTATAATTGATATACACAAAATACAGAGAAAGGAATCAAAGTATACCAAAAAAATCACCACAAAGAAACACCATGAGAGGAGAAAGTGTTACGGAGCAGCCCCAATATAAAACGGGTTGCCTGGCCGTGGGTCCTCATCCACGCTCTTAAAAGGGACTTATTAAACTCCACTGCAGGCACACACAAAAGGTTAATAAAAGGTTTACTTACAAGGGAAAGGGAATTGAGGAAATGTACAACTCAGGGAGATAATAGGGAAATAAAATCTTCAATGCGTCCTACCGGATCCGCCGACCTGGAAACCCAGATGCACTCTCAGAGCTGGCCGGACAAGCGAGCTGCAGGGAGCCAAAATGGGGGATCCCCTCCAAAGCCCATGTGTCTGGCTTTATACCACACCTGGCTGCTTAACCCCACCCTCAGGTTCCAGCAACCTTCCCTTTGGTGGTGATGGGATTTGGAGTTCCCAGTGTCTTTGACTTTGGTCTGGAGTTGGGGGTGGAGTCCACAAAGCCTGTATGGAATTAGCTTTAGGACATCCTTTTCCCCCTAACAAAAGGACTATAGGAACTACAAAATTCCTAGAAACAATGAGCAAAACAGCAATTGTTAAATCCATTCCTATCAGCAATTACTTCAAATGTAAATGCATAAAACTCTCCAATCAAAAAACACTGACTGGCTGAATGGATTTAAAACACATAACCTGAATATCTGCTGCTTTACAGACATACATAGGCTGAAAGAGGTAGGGAAAGAAAGATATTACATGCAAACAGTAACCAAAAGAGACTAAGGACGATGATACTTAGACCAGACAAAATAGTCTCTTTTGTTGTTGTTGCACTTTATTTTTTTTTAATTTTTTGAATTTTTTTACATCATTGTTCATTTTTAAACAATATTTGCTTCTCCCCACCCCCTCAGGTGTACGTAAGTCAGACTAAATAGTCTTTCAGTCAAAAGCTATGAGACAGAGGATCATTATACAATGATAAGACAGTGAATTCATGATGAGGATATAACAATTGTAAAGATATATGCACCCACCTCCAA